GCTGTCATTATTAAATAATCGTACCATTTTTAAAAGCAGGGTATATTGCGATACCATTTTTGGTTCCCAGTATATTGTGCAACACTACTCATAATTCTGTGTGTGCGATTGGTGTAGTCTTGTCTTTTAAACAAACTGTAATCAAATGCAAAAAAACATTTAATTTGATTACATTTTAAAAGATTGATTAAACTGTTAAAGTTGAATTCATTCATTTCATTAGACACATTTTTGATACGTTTGTATTGCATCATAAAACACAGAATCCAGAAAAAATAAAATGGAAAACACAGAATTTAGGGATAAATAAAATTGTTTTCATGATTTCATGGTAGCTTAAAAAAGTGAAGTGCAGTGAAGTGAAGTGAAGAAGTGAAGTGTGACCAAGTATGGTGACCCATACTCGGAATTTGTGCTCTGCATTTAACCCATCCAAGTGCACACACTAGGGATGTAACTATTACCGGTTTGACGATAAATCATGATAAAATTCCCCACGGTTAGTATTACCGTTTCATCATTTAATTATCATTAAAACCGTATTAGATTACCGCGATTTGAACAACTGGTGATAAATAAATACTGTCCAGCATAAAGCACAGTTTTAAGTAACAGTCTCGTTTTAGAGTGTAGTTAGTAGTTTCATTTTGAGTGAAAACAGGGCGGAAAAGCTGGGAGGTTTTAAAAGAGTGCTAAGGGAATTATACAAATGAAAATATGAATGAATGAATTATATGAATGTACCTCTGAAGGTTCTGACTGTCTTCAGAAACGATTCGATGGCATTTTGTTTTCATCTTCGCTCCATGTAATACTTAAAGGAAGTGTTCTTAAATCGCAATACTGCTTTGTCCACGGAGGTTACGGGAAACAGCTCACAGACATTCAGTCTGTGTGCAGTTTCTGTCTGGCCAAAAACTGACAGAATTTGCATGCCCTGCTGTAAATTTTGACCGGTTGATGAAAAACAAGCTTATGTGGATTCTACACATTTAAACAATTCAGATAAGTTATCTAGAATTATTTATGGAGCAGATAAAATACATATAATCATTTATTAATCAATTATCATTTTGACATATCTTTTCTTTATTTAAAGGCTGAAATGTGAGGTTTACCTTTTTATGAAACTTTTTCAAAGCTTTATTTGAACATATACATTAGATATTTGAACATGCTATTAAACTTTTGTCAGTCAAGTTGTCATTTAAAATCTGAACATCATTGGTAATGTTATTGTTTTAGTGATTATGCAAACAAAAAGTCATTTTATTTGTTGATTTTTAAATACAAAACTTGGTGAAGTGATTTATGTGTTGGTACTTTTTTAACATCTCCAGCACATTTTAACAATACTGTGATAATACTGATAACTGTGATAATTTTGGTCACTATAATTGTGATAAGAAATGTTCATACCGTTACATCCCTAGCACACACACAGTAGTAAACACACACCCGGAACAGTGGGCAGCCATATTGCTGCGGCACCCTGGGAGCAGTTGGGGGATTGGTCGGTGCCTTGCTCAAGGGTCTCACCTCAGTCGTGGTATTGAGGGTGGAAGAGAGCGCTGTACATTCACTCCCCCCACCGACAACTACTGCCGGACCTGAGACTCGAACCCGCAACCTTCGGGTTACAAGTCCAACTCTTTAACTATTAGGCCACGACTGCCTTTTTTTCTTTTACTGTATGGAGTTTAATTGTGAACAAACAAGTTACGTTTACCTTCATTCTCAAGGTCTAACAAACATGTGGAAATAATTTCCTTCCTCAATAATGGTAAATTAATATCAAGATCAATATCGATAGTGTAATAATATTTTTGGCCATATTATCTAGCCCAATGCCACATGATGGTCCTATAAAAAAGTATTTCCCACGAGTGAGGAAAAAAAGAAGCTTTTTATGGTTGTGTTTACCGGTTTGTGGGCCTATTAACTTTGCGTGACCGAGGAAGGTTTTTATGGCCTTTCCTGCTATTTTGCGAGCAGTTTTAGAGAATAACACAGGAACAGGGGTAGGAAGCTGTTCACTCAGAATGAGAAACGGAATATTTTCTGCTCCGATCGTGGAAGGTTTGCTTCGCTCACTCACATACAGCTCACCTGCTTACATGAATAAGAAAATTAGCTGTTCATGCATTTCCTCAAAAACCCCTGAGTTCCCCTGCGTTCAAACCCAGTGTTTTGATGATCTACTCTACTGAAATATGATAACTTGCATGAAATTTAATAGAAACTCAACGCTAAAGGAGCCGTGTGAGTCTCTATCAAAGGTGATCTAGGGAACTGCTACTGCAATGCAATACCACGAAAAAAACAAAAAAAACTTACAAATTATCCATACTTCTCATGCTCATTTGATCAAACCATCCAGCTGAGAGCAAACGTAAAAGCATACAACCTCACTGATGGCATTTATTTTTTTAGATAAAAAATGATAGGAAAGCCAACAGTAGCCAATGCTCCATTCTCACCCAGGCCCCTCCCTGCAGAACTAACATGCCTCTTGTCCAGGATGGTACAGCCATCTGTTGTTTGTTAGGAGGTAGAGAGTTTGTGTGAATGAGTATGATGGTATTTGCTTGTGTGATGAGGAAGAGAAAGGGGACAAAAGTGAATGGGGGAGGGAGGTAATATGTAAATGTGGACATTAATGGTTTTGTCTGTGACTGACACTAGGGGAAATACTGCGAGTGAGCACTGACGGCAGCTTGAAAAAAGTGTTTTGCATGCAGAAAAGAGTGTCGATTAATGAAATAACAGCCTGTTCTATCCTGACTCCACTTATTTACACAGATATGGGAGATACAGTCTGTTGGGGGTTAGGTTAATCCAACGGGAGTCCAAGCTCAATGTCATATTAACCTAGTTCATTGGCAAAACATGCTTTCCCACAGCACAAACACAGCTCCAGCTGTCCAGTGAGTTTGAGCGTTTAACCTAGACAATAGTGTCATCATCAACAGAGATTGATTACATTAAAATCATAAACTGGAATCCCACCATCCACTGTGCTAGTTAACCCAATGACACACTACAGCCTCTGACGTCACACAGGTGAGTCTGAATCCAGGTGTTTGTGATGTCTGGCTTGTAAGGACAAGGTGTGCTTCAGTGTCATAAACTTGTAATGAAACAGACTTGTCTTTGCCCTCAAGCAGTAGGTCAAGATTTAAAACTGTTGTTAGAGGACTTAAAGCTGCACTCAGTAAGTTTTTGTGTAGGCCTACATTTAACTGTTATTCATCACATTCAGTATATTTATTGTTATATATTGCCATTGTTATTATTAGTAGTAGTCAGAGTAATTGCACTTTCAAATCCTCCTAGGAAGTTCATATCTATTTATGAGTTGGGATTGGGAAGTCATTATAATTACCTATTTAAAATAATTAAATAGGTCATGTGGGTGCAAAACACCTTGGTTGGAGAAAGATAGTGATGTACCTTTTCTACAAAAAACAAATACAGCAAGGTTTTGAACTACTTCTACAAAATGATAAATACAGAATGTGCATCAGGTGTGAATTTGCATTTTTATGTTTATATTCAATTTATGTAGGTGCTATAAACTGAATTGTTATATATTCTATTGTAATTGTACAAATTGCATACTTTGTGCAACTTAGCAAGTTTTATTGTAAATGAAAAAAATGACACAGCTGGTCATGTGATGTCAACATGACAGCGCCCATAAGAGGACAACCTGCTCCATGTCAATAAAAGCAGATTTTTCCAGAAGACTGACAAGCCTCAAATACAGCAAGGTTTTGAACTACTTCTACAAAATGATAAATACAGAATGTGCATCAGGTGTGAATTTGCATTTTTATGTTTATATTCAATTTATGTAGGTGCTATAAACTGAATCGTTATATATTCTATTGTAATTGTACAAATTGCATACTTTGTGCAACTTAGCAAGTTTTATTGTAAATGAAAAAAATGACACAGCTGGTCATGTGATGTCAACATGACAGCGCCCATAAGAGGGCAACCTGCTCCATGTCAATAAAAGCAGATTTTTCCAGAAGACTGACAAGCCTCAAGTCTTCATATCATGTGTAAACATCATTGTAATGCTATTTCTCAAAAGTGTTGTTAATTTCTTTGCATTTAAACATTTCTAATTAGCCAAATAAAAAAAAATACTGAGTGCACCTTTAAGAGTGAAATTGTGTGTAGTGACCTCAAATCAATCAATGTGCTCCAGTGTTTACTTGATTTAATGTCCCCCATAAAGGAACATTAATCTCCTGCTGGGCTCTCTAAACCAACATTAACCCCAAACCAAATTGTGAGACAAGGATAAGTCAGAGCACGTTGTTGGGTCACTATCAATTCAGCCACCATTACATCCATGTTAAAGGAATAAATGGATTTATAAACACTTGACATCTCACATTCAAATCCATGCTCATACAGAATCTACACCTTTTCATTACAACGGAGTGTAAAAACACCACTTATCCACATAAGTATATACAAACATACATAATCTTGAATATTTGGCTATGTGTTTGCATTTCATACATGGTATATGTAGCCATAGAAACCTTTCCATGCCATAGAACCCTTTTCTACATCTAACATAACACACTGAAACATACAAAATACCTGAGATAACTTTAAATATCCTTGATCAATTTATTATCAGTCAGTGTTTAAGTGCTGACAACTTAGTCACTGGACCACATCAAAGACTACTTAATATTCCAGCATGTATACTATATGCTGCCATAGCTTAGCTTTATAACTTGGGTTGCATGCATCCACAGTCATGGAAACGTCTCGACTTAAAAGAGAGAAAAAAATCGAGCATCACACACAGATTTTTAAAGTGTAGTCTATATACGCGTCAATGTATCCTCTCAAATACCAGGACCATTAATCAAAAATGACACAAAAACTGCAGCAAGTTCATGCAATGAATTAAAAGGGCATCTTACAAGGGGGTCACAAAATGCTGAAATGTATAGTAAAAAATAACTTACCCAAAACCGCAAAGGCTATAAAAAGCCATTTGATATCCATAGCTCTGTTTTCTGCACTGCCAGTTAAGTCCAGATATTGCAGAAAAATGCAAATGTGGTTATAAATTCCAAATCGTCACTCAGACCTTCAGAAATCAGTCCGGGTGGAGTTATGAACGCGTGCACCTGTTCGGACCGCGACTCCACAACGATTCGATTTCTCCCGAGTCAAATGCGTCTAGCGCCGTAAATAAGACGGATAGCCTATCCAGCCCCGAACAAGAGACGCTTGTGCGATTGAATAAAGCCTTCGGGTGGTTTCCTCCGATAAATTACATCCGCCGTTCACGAATGAATCCGATATTGTGAGTTGAACGCTGGGATATGAGCTCTCTCTCTTGCCGCTCTCTCTCCAATTCCCAGCGCGAGCAGCCCACGCGTGCTGGAGAGAGGAGGAGTGAGACCAGTTCGTCCAGTTCGCGTCAAATAACTGGCTGTGGTCGTGGATAAACTTATGGTAGCTTTGTCAGACGGATATGAGCAGACGTGGTGCCCGTGTCTGTTCTCCGTGAAGAGCAGTACAGTGATGCTGCCGCTCCCGCGATCACCTTCAGCTCTTCTCTATTGTCATACACGCCACAACAGACACTAGGCGGCCCAGCCCATCTCTTACTTTCTATCACGGGCTGGTGCCTGAGGATAACAGATGGGGGGAATCCTACCAGAGACCACTAGTTGTGTCCCGGTCAAATAAATCTGCTTCAGCCAGCTTCGGGTGGCTAAGTCACTTTTGTAATAAGCATTGCGTTGCCTAGATTCAGTTGTCGCTAGAGATGCCGCTATTTAGAAGCACAAATGCCGTTTACTTTGATACCCTCTGAAACGATGCTTATAATTGGGAATCGCAATTTAAGTGTGCGTTTTCATTTTAACGATACTCAAGTTCATGTTTTAGAGTCTGTTTGACAACATCCTCGAATAACCTTTTAAACAGCTCACGCTTCGCATGGGTTGTGTGGCGTGTTGTATGAAATTACACGCTTGGTTTATCGCCACCGGTTTAAACGTCAGAAAGCAGCGAGCTCTGCAAACGGTTATTTCTGGGACTCGTGTTGTTTATGTTATTACATTGTTTACACACGCCGCCGCAAGTGAACGTCCCAATTATGGGAATTTGACATTTGATTTCCTGCTGTCCTGCGTTTGCGCTTTCAAACTATCACTCCTCCCACACCTACCGGTACATAACTCCGCCCTCTTGGCGTAATGCCATACTAAACCACCCCTTTCACCAGGTAACAGCTGCCCCCTAGTTTTGAAAACAGTCCCTAAAGAAACCCATAGGCCTTTGGGATAGAAAGTATTATGGGAAAATGTATGTTTGTTCACATTCTGTATAATCTATTACAAATAATTGCTGTTCTTTTGAATTTTCTACTCATTAAAGAATCCTGAAAAAACGTTGAAACATGAATGTTTTCAACTGTGATGGTCTAAAAATAAATGTTTCTTAAGCAGCAAATCAGAATAATTTCTGAAGGATCACGTGACACTGAAGACTGGAGTAATGGCTGCTGAAAATTCAACTTTGCATCAGGGGAATAAATGACATTTTAAAATATATTAAAAGAAAATTATTTTAAGTTGCAATAATGTGTCACAAAATGGTGATTTTTAGTAATACTATAATACTTGTATAATATTGTATTTTGATGAAATAAATGCAACCTTAGAGAGAGACTTATTTCAAAAACTTTTTTTTTTAAATCTGACCCCAACTTTTGAGCGGTAGTGCATCTGCTACAAATTAATTTACAAATCTCCTATTATCACTAAATTGTGTAAATTAATGTAAAGTATTGCAAAAATACTTTTTAAAAATATCAATATTTATCTAAAAATGATATAGAAATATTAAACTACCTTAGTACCAGATTGAATAGTACCACCAGCTGAAAATATGGGTGTATTCAGATTTGTGCATTAATTTATTGTACGTCTCCAGTCACGTCCATTCTCTTACCTTGTTCTTTGACCAGCAATTGTGTTATTTTTTTTAATACTGGAGGTTGGTGCTCCTGTAATTTCAGTCCTGTTGCTCATTTATAATTGGTTAAACTGAAGGTTTTTACAACTCACCCCAGTCTCTGCTGTTATATTGCTTCAGTACTTTCTTTAATGTGTCAGTCAGAGAATAGTCAGAGACTGATCTCTTTTTGATAAAGGTTGGGGTCTGATCAGTCAGTCACAGTTGGATGTGGAGGGATTGTGTGCTCCGGCCCATGAGGACAATCACTCCATTGTTACTGCTGCATATACAGTACAATACTGGCCTGTTTTTAATTAGGAGTTGTTATAACATCACAGTGCATGGAACAAAAAAAATATTTGAGTCAATGTAAAGAAAGAAAATCTAATGAGAGAACAAGCAGTGTGCAATATCATATTGTTCACTGTAATGAACCACTCGGTTATTCAGTGCTATTTTTGTTAGTGAAAACCGTGGGCATAATATCTTTGCTCTGACATTTAGACAGTTTTTTCCCCTTTATTAAAAATTGTTTTAATCGCATGTTATTATTTTACCCCTACAGAACATTGGTTTTAGAAGCACAAATAATCAGGAAGTTTGAACATCTTAATTCAATCATTGGGAAGCTGAGTGAAGCAGTTCTCAGTGGATTTCAGCAGTCCTGCTCCAGGCGCCACCATCGTGCCCCCAAGCAAGGCACTTAACGTCTGCGTCCACAATGATGAGGCTTTACAAGATCAATTCAAATCCAATCAAACTTAAAGGTCAGAGATAAGATTGCTGTCAGTCATATGTTATAAAGAGAGATGGCAAAGTGTTTTATAATAGAGTAGGTGATAAAAATCTCAATTATCTGACAGTTTCATTATGAACAGCTTGTCCAGAACCTTTTTAATATACATAAAATTTTTTGTTTATGTTGCATTTGTCAATAGGGCAGTTCAGCTCAAAATGCACAAGTGAGGCATCTGCTTAATAGTATTGAGTCCCATAATGAGAAAAGGAAAAATAGTTTCATGGTCAGTTTTTAAAGCTTTATGATGACTTCAAGGAGCAACTTAACACGGTGTTGTTGCCTCAGGGAGATAGATTTGCTTAGGCTTTTCATCTGACGTTTGAATATTTTGCGGTGCATTCAAAAAGTCAATAAATCATTAATTTCTCCCATTTACCATGTCTCTGGGTCTCTTTTGGGAGCTCATAAGGGATACTGAGCTAAAATGTGAGAACAGTGTTTTTCCCTTCCACTTCATCTCTTCCAGTGTGTACAATCATATGCACACACACACACACACACACACACGTACACACGTGTGCAAAGAAAAACATGCATACACATTAATAAGTGTTAAAACACACACACACACACACACACACACACACACATAAACAAAGTGAATAAAAATGGCTTCTATCTGCATGTAGCCACTACAATATGATAAGTTCAAGAATTATAAAAGATATCTACAAAAATAAAAAACACTTCTAGGACACCATTTTACATTGGACATCAAAAATGAAAATATCCTTTAAATCAAACTTTGGAATGCATTAAACTTAAAGGAACAGTTCACCCCAAAATAAAATAAAAAACATGCTGAAAATGTACTCCCTCAGGCTATCCAAGATGAAGATGAATTTGTTTCTTCACTGGAACAGATTTGGGGAATTTTAGCTTTACATCACTTGTTCACCAATGGTTCCTCTGCAGTGAATGGATGCCGTCAGAGTCCAAACAGCTGATTAAAAACGGCAGAATAATGACTCCAGTCTATCAATCAATGTCTTGTAAAGTGAAAAACGTGTTTGTAATAATCAAATCCATCAAGGTGTTTTAACTTAACTCCATCCCCTGTTATCCTCTCACATCAAAATCCACTGACATATTCATTTAGAATTGTGTTGGACTGTTTTTGCTTGTAAAAGGAGCTTGATATTTCTCTCATGATTCAGATGCAACAACTTTTAACCTGGAAAAAGCAATAGTATGTATAAGAGGACTCCTGTTTTAGCCGGAAGCAATGTTTTGAAGTAAAAAATGTCTTAATGAACTGTTACACATTATACATTATACATACTGACTGTCTTATATACTAGGAACATTTACTTTTTTAGTTTTAAATTGTTTGAGTTTGGTTTATATTTTGATGGTTTCAGGTTTCTATTTTTCCAGGATTCTCAACAGCTAATATATAAATACAAAATATACTGTGGTCGGTACAAACCAGGTTGATCCTTGCTGCAAGTGAATATTTACATATTTAATGTAGTTTAGGTTTTCAAGGATGAGGGTATGTTATGCAGCCTGTCATGCTGGCACCTGCTTAACTTGATTTCAACTTTTCCTTTCTCTTTGGAGTGTTACAAGCTCTTGGTGCATAAAATCTGTAAAGTTGCAAAGACTAAAGTCTCAAATCCAAAGAGATATTCTTTATAAAAGTTAAGAGTCAACCACGCCTACCTAAAACGGCTTGTTCTAACACGCCTCCACATGTCTACGTCACGATGTGGGAAGATTTGCATAACGCCGCCCAAATGTTCACGCAAAGAAAGAAGGTGTAACTTTTATTCTCGCTGTAGTATTGTTGTTGCTGCCGCCATGTCGTGAAGACGCTGTGTTTCCTTGTGAAAGCGAAACTACTTTGGTTGGCCTTCCAAAAGAGGACGATATCCGCTTCATCATGCCTGGAGCTGATCCGTGCTGGTTGCTGAGAAAATACAACAAATTTGCACTGTGGATCGCTGGATCGGCTTTCACCGTGGACAAAGCGGAGTCCAGCCCGGGGTCGTCACATGTGGTTGCCGCAAGCCTGCCGGATGCTCCTTCGTCAAATTCACGATGATTCAAACGCAAGTTTTTTGGGCAGTGTAGAGTAGCACTTGTTGTTTGTAATTTCTCCGATCACAAATGCAGACATGGTTTTATGTTTACACGGCACGATGCAATGCAACGCGTAAAAAGACAGTATAAGTCATTATAATCCGTAATCATGTCCCCACTGGATGCAACAAATGCCTCGTTTATAATGGGTTATCACAATATGGTAAGGGGCTTAACATTTCCATCACACGCTTGAGGTATTCGGCCAATCACAACGCACTGGATAGCTGGCCAATCAGAGCACACCTCGCTTTTCAGACCGATGAGCTTTGTAAAAATCGACGCGTTTCAGAAAGGTGGGGCATAGAGGAGAAACAATAATGAACATGATGTGGAAAATAATGTGTTTTTTTAACCTTAGACCACATAAACACATTTCATTACACCAAATACACAAAATAATGTTCTTTTTATCAGCATCATAAGACCACTTTCATTTGGCTAGCATATTTATTTATAAGTTTATTTATTATTGTATTCGTATTATTAGTTTAATATTATATTTAACTGTTGTTATATGGTTGAATTATATTATTTCAATTTAATATTGTTGTTTTTCTGCTGTCTGTGAACACACCAGTTGAAAAACGCTGGTCTAAGAACATGATACTAGTGTGAAAAAAAGGAAACCAAACAAATCAGTTTGTGAATCAAAGTAAAATATTCCATAAAAATTGGGCAAATTCAATATTTCTTTGAGTTGATGTTTAGCAGAGGCTCCTCTTGCGAATAGATAGGTTTGTATTTTGAAGCATCAGTAATGAAGTGTCTGATGCATACCCAAAATAACACTGGGGAGTAGCGTTGAGAGCTGAACTGAAACAGTAAACCATCATCATCACAGTAATTAAAGTGCAAGGGGATGTAATGTGCTGCACTGGTTCGAAACCCTCTTTTTAGCAGATTGTATCAGAAACAAATTTGGGACAATAATTAAGTCTGAAACAATCTTGTTTTCACAGTTGGGGCTGATAAATACCTGCAGTCAAGTAAAGTGACTGCTTTATTATTGCTGCTGATGACAGTAATTATTTTGCTATTTCAGATGGGAGAGAATCAAATCTCATATTTTTTTATACAATACCAACTACTGTGGGCCGTTTTCACTCTCTCATATAATGTGCCTTACATGACAACCAACTACGAGCGGTACAAGCATGTGGTCTGGCTAGAAGTACCAATTCCAGACCAATTGAGAAACGTTAAGAAGCAAGACATGTGAAGTCTATCGGAGAGCGGAAGAGGT